TCCTCTCGGGATGGAGAGGAGCAGAGGCAGTGTGCTCCCGTTAGGAAGAGCTGGAGCTGAGATGTTCCTGCCTTTCCCCCAAACAGCAGCCCAGGCAGGCAGCTCCCTCCACCCACTTGAGAACAAGAGGCTTGGTCCTGGCTGGGATGGGAAGCCCCGTTCTCCTTGGCAGAGTGGCAGGGGACTGTGTGGCAAACCCTCAATTATCTCAGCACACATCTGTGGAACCCGCTTGACTGGAACAAGCTTGGCTATTTCTAACTCTGTATGCAGCCCCCTTTCTGCCTGAAGAACCATTTGGGGGAAAATCAGATAGAATGAATGAAGTGGCCAGGAGGCTGGGGTTTGGCAAGATCTTTCAGGAGCACAGGAACTCAGCACCCAGATGGGGTGGGATGGGGCAGGGAACCTGTCTCCCTGCTCTCCCTGACCTCCTACACTAGCCTCTGCCCTCCAGGGCCGTCCCTCAGCATGGGAGCTCATGGCAGATCCTTCTGGAAGCACCCAGTGATGCTCAGCTCCCTGGAGAAGCCCTTCTGAAGCCCGGAGGCCAGGGTCAGGGCCCCCAGGGAACACCCAGACCATGCTCCTCATGAGAGATGGGGAAACTGAGTCTCACAGGAGTGCAGTGGCCTGATCAAGGGTACACACAAGGGTCAGGAGCTGCCAGGGACAAGGTGACTCCAGAGTGTCTCTTACCTCCCCTCTGGACAATGGAGGCCAGGACCACCACCACCTGGCCCTGAGGAGTCAGTAACCGTCTGCAAGCAGAGGTGCCAACATGAGCCCTTGCACTACAGGTCAGCCTGCTGTCTGTTTGTTCACTGTTTATCTCTTCCTTTTTGCTCCCCTGAAACCTGTCTTTCTGTCTGTCTGGCAAAGCCCTGGAGCGCCCTCTCCATAAGCCAGGCCCTGAGCTAGGGTGTGGGGTGTCCGTGAATGGCACTAGTGCTTCTCCTGTCACCAAGCTTGGTGTCCTGGGTACAAAGGAGACAGGAATGAAAGATGGATGGGGCAGGATGGATGCTGGTCTCCTGGTCAGAGCTCCTGCCAGACTTGGCAGCTCCAGGACTGTCCTCTTGGCACCCAAGGAGGTGAGGAGACTGAGACCCAGCGTCGGCCCTCATGAAAATGCTCTAAAGGCCCAGATCCTTCCAACAGGAGATCCCACCACGTCAACCGGATGGGGCACAGGAAGGTTGGTGAGGCCCCAGCCCTCCAAAAAGGGGAGGGAACATGTGGGGTGTTGGGTGCAGCTGGCAGCAGGGCACACCGGCTGGGCAGGACAGAGTCTGGCAGGAGTAGGAGGAGCGGGAGGAGGAGAGGGTGGGGGTTCAGTGAGGCCGGGGGGGAAAAGAGGCTATGAAAGGAAGCCAGGGAGAGAAATGGAGCAGGAAGCATCTTTAAGAACAAGGAGCCCAGTAGTGGGGAGGGGCACGCTTAGGCTCTCTGGCGACCCTCAAGGGACAATTAGCCCAATGGAATAAAACCTCTGGCAGAGTCCCCTGACAGGCAAAACACAAGGTGGCAGGTGTCCTAGGAGGGGAGTCAGCTGAAGAAAGGGTCCCACGTCTGGGGAACCCAGGAGGGCTTCCTGAAGAAGGTGTCTATAAGCAAGCTGGGCCCAGGTAAAGAGGATAGAGCAGCTGGGCCTTGGTGTTGGGGTCCCTCGGACAAATGCAGGCACAAGTTGGCAGCATCTGCCTGAGGGGCTTCACTGCTCAGAAATGAAGCTGATGGACCAAGGTGGGGTCTCAGCAACCATGAGGTGCTGGGAGCATGACCCCACTTACTCCTGTGGGTCAGACATTACTGTGCCTGCTTTACAGATAAGGCAGAGGCCCAGCTGGCACTCCGCTGGCAATGGCTGCACTTGGGCACCAGCCCACATGATCACCTTGAGTCAGTCTCCTGTCTTGGTTGCCCAGAGCACCCCTTGTCGGGTCCGCCAGGGAGCTCTCAGCCCTGCCTCCAAACATCAACTTGTAAAGCCCCTCTATCCTTTATCTCCCTGATCCTGTGAGCTTTGATCATGAAAACACGGCGCATGTTACACAGTGGGAAAGTAGCTGAGCTAAAAGCAACCTTGTTCCCTGACACCGTCCACCTGAGTCCCACAGAGCAGGTGTGGTGGGCAGCTGGGAGGGTGGGGAGTTAGGCTGCTGTGGGCACCAGGCCTTGCTGGTGGAGCACTGGGCCAGTGGCCCAGCTGTCCTTCCAGAGGCAGCTGCCTCAGCTCCCTGGCTTCTGACCCAGCACACCCATCCCTCAGGGCCTGCAAAGACACATTCACACAGGCCTTGGGCCAGGACAGGTCATGGTCTAGAGTCAGGTCAGGCCAGGCCAAGCCAGGCCTGCCATTAGAAAGAAGGGACAGCAAGGGCTGGAGGATGGGCAGTGAGGGGGCAGCCTGGGGAGTACACCAAGGCTCCAGATCACAAGGGTCTAGGAAGGCAGGCAGGATGCCTGGCAAGAGCTGTGGGGCCCAGGCCAGATCCCTGCAGGAACCTCAGCTCCTCAGGGCGACCCAGGCCTCTTGCAGGTAGGTGACTTGCTTCTCTCTCGGATTTCTGACAATCTAAATTCATACAGGCCTCCTGTACACTATGAGCTGGCCACCTCCTGGGCTCTCTTCCCACCTGCCTCCTCCTCCTGGGGCCCCCTCCCTGCCTTTCCCTGACCTCAGGAGTCTGGGGGCTGAGAGGAAGCCAAGGTGGGCGGAGGGCTGAAGTTCTAGGATAGCTGAGATGCTGGCTTGAGCAGGGAGAGTGGCAGGGCTCACACTTGAGGGCATGACGGGGAGGGACCTAGTGTCCAGGAAACCTGAGGATACCAGACAGGGGTTCCAGAAGCCCACGAGGGGCTATGCGAGTGGTCAAGAAACTACTTGCTGATGGTGTTTTTAAAAAGTAACACAGGAACACACACAATGGAATCGCAGGATTCCAAGTTACCAGATGTAAATGAACGTGCCTATGTATAAAACACCGAAGAAGGCAGCAAATCACACTGCCACGTGTGTACCTATGAAACTATCTTGCATGTTCTTCACATGTACCCCAAAACCTAAAATGCATAATAAAAAAAAAACATTATAAAATTGAAATTAAAAACAAAACAAAAAAAACACCGAAAGGAAATAGAGTAGAGCACGACTGCGGCTGCCTCTCGAAGGTAGGTGACTTGCTTCTCTCTTGGATTTCTGACAATCTAAATACAAAACCCTGTGGAAGATGCCCCAAGGCTCCGCTGGAGTTAGTCTTGTAGTTAGTCTTTGTAAGACCATGGCTTCAACTACAGCACGTGTAAGGATCTGGTGAAAATGCTGCCTCTTAATTTGTAAATGTTGATGTAACAAGTGATGTGTTAAGAGGTGACTGTTCATGATACACCTTTATTAATACCTAATCATCTTCAAAACCCATGGAATTTCTATAATGTATTAAATACCTCTCTGTGAATTATTAAAAGTTTACAGAATTATGCAAAAGCGACGAAGTACATTTCTGATAGCTTAAAGACTTGTGTGTTTGTATTATTCAAAGGTTTGAGAGTTTCACGAGTATAGACATGGATGAACATGATCTGAGGAGCAGGAAATCCAGAAGGAATGCAGAGGAGCCAGCACTGCACCCCATGCAGCACTGGCAAGGGAGACAGGAGAATTTGCAGAAAGAGGAAGAGTCGGGCTAAGGATGACTCCGATGGGCAGTGGCTCGCTGCTGTGAGAGACTGATGGATACATGTAGGCTGCACTGGGTACAGCTTTTTTTTTTTTTTTTTTTTTTTTGAGACGGAGTTTCGCTCTTGGTACCCAGGCTGGAGTGCAATGGCGCAATCTCGGCTCACTGCAAACTCCACCTCCTGGGTTCAGGCAATTCTCCTGCCTCAGCCTCCTGAGTAGCTGGGATTACAGGCACGCGCCACCATGCCCAGCTAATTTTTTGTATTTTTTAGTAGAGACGGGGTTTCACCACGTTGACCAGGATGGCCTCGATCTATTGACCTCGTGATCCACCCGCCTCGGCCTCCCAAAGTGCTGGGATTACAGGCGTGAGCCACCGCGCCCGGCCTGGGTACAGCTTTTATACAAATCAAAGTTGGGTCTCTGTTTCTAGAAAGACACGCAGAGGCTGTAGACTGTGGGCGGGTTAGCCACCCATTCCAGACAAACTGCAGCAGTCTCAGGTAGGGCTGGTCTCTCAGCCTGTCCCCATATCTGACAGCCACCGCCCACTCCACCCTTCCTGAAGCAGCCTTGAGGCCACGCTAGGGCCAAGATGCCACACAAGGCCAATGGCACAATCTTCACAAATGGGAGGTTAGCTCACTGGGGTGGTGATAAGAAGCCTTTGTCGCCCTGGATTTCCTGGTGCTGAAGGTCCATATGGGGCCACCTCCACCCTGATGGTCAACACGGAACACCCCAATTTCTGCTACTGGACCCTGCCCACCCGAGACTCTTCATGCGTACAACCATGGACCTAGCCCAGCTTCACCAGCAAACCAGAAGAGCACCCGCTGGCTTGCAGGACGCAAGTGTGGAGACGCGGTTGGCTCTCCCTTCCTCTTCTAGTCTGTCTCACCTTGCGCTGGTCTCTGGCCTGGCGGCTTGAAAGGTGCCCCCTGCCCGGCCCCACATGGATTTCAGTCTTCCCCAGGCGCTGCTGCCTCTGGACACACCGACACACGCCTGGGGCCCCAACCCTCAGGGAATGAAGCCCAAGTCAGGACAGACAGAGGCCAAGAAAGTCAGGGGAGCGGCTCAGGGCCTTCCTCGCCCAGGGGGTCCAAGGCTGCAAAGCTACGTGGCGTTAGTCCAAGGCTAAGAAGCCTCAGGCGTGACGAGGACAGGCCAACGCATCTCCCTTCCACCCGGCCCACCACACCATTGCCTTCAGACACGAGGCTGCTCCTTTGCCGAGGGCTACAATCAGATCTCCCCATCAGAGGAGACAGGAGAGCCAGAGAGCCAGAGAGCCAGCGAGAGCGGGACCCACCTTGAAGATGAGGCAGTCACCCTGGTGCTCGGCATACAGCGAGGTCAGCCGATACTGGTTCTCTGTGGTGATGTCGATCTGGTAGCCAGTGAGCGTGTAGCAGGCCTTGCGAAACTCCTGGATCTTGGTCTGAAAAACCTCCTTGAGCCGCTGGTTCTTCAGCTCGGCACTCTCCACCTGCTTCCTCAGCTCTGTGGTAGGGAGGGAAGGAGATGGTGAGTGTGGCACCAGGCCAGAGGGGTGGGGACCCAGGAGGAGGCCGAGTGCAGGCAGGAGTGGAGGCTGCCCAGGGATGCAGGCAGCCTGTGCGTCGCACCGGCCAGCCTCCATCTGGAGGCTGAGGAAACCAAAGTGAGGGGTGAGCTGACACAGACTGACACTCTTAACGAAGTTACCGCATTAAGAACAGTAACTGAGGGCCAGACTCCAGAAGCAGCCTGAGCCCTTCCACAGGGACCAGCCCTTGGCTGGCATGACAATGCCTGGAGTCACCCTGCCAGGAAGCCACAGGATCAGGCATGCCTCGGGGGCACCCCTGCCCCAATGCTCCAGCGATTTAGGCAAGAACCCTGAGAGGAGGTGGTGCTGAGGACATGGGTCCTGAAGTGAAGATCTGGGCCACCAAGCTGCCCAGTGATCCTGACCATCCATTCTCAGGCTGCTGTCTGGGTCCTTTCTAGGGTCGGAGGCCTGCCCCACAGAGCCAGCACTCAGAAACAGGGAGGCAGGTGGGAAGTCAGCTGGACCTTCTGTATCCTATTGCCCCAGGGCTTTGACCTGCCAGCTACCTCTTGCGAAACTCCTGGATCTTGGTCTGAAAAACCTCTTGTTTATCAGACCACTTGTGAGATGATACTTGTGAGAGGACAGCTGGCCCCACCCAGGCCCACTGCCCCCCATGCGGCTTTAAGTGACCATTCAGGGCACACCCTGCACCCCGCCCACCAGGATTTACAGCTGCTTGGGGAGGAAATGCTGTGCAGAGCCATCAGGAGGATAACAGCAATGATCATTAATCTCTCACCCGAGAGGCCTTCCAAGTAATTAAGCCTCGATTTATCCCCCCGTTAATTATCAGGACTGGCTCCACTTAGAAGAATACAGAACTGTCCCCTAGGCCGGGTGCTTCCCAGCAGTGCTGTCTGGAGCTGGCTATGGGGAGCCCTGCAGGGGCTTGGGACCGCTCTAGGCGGGGAAGGGAGACACTGGACCCTGTCCTGCAGGCCAGGGGAGCTGGGCCAGCCGTCAGCCTCCCTCCAGTAGGACAAGGGACCAAATCACAGAACTTATGCAAGTGCCCACATCCAGGCATGGGACGGTCAGCTCCCTGGCTGGGCTGAAAAAGGGGACATTCAAGTCAACCATGGCCACATGGCTGGGGAGAAACCAAGGGTTCCAAGCCCATGCAGCACCCGGGGAAGGCTGGTTCTGAGTTAGAGATGAGTCTGAAGGCCCCATGATGGGTGTGGGGTCTCCCAGAGGAGGGTGAGGGATTCAAGTGTGAGTGCCTGCTAGCCAGGTCACAGTGAGTGAGAGAGGGGCTGCCTGGGAGTTCGTGCACAGTGGTCCGAAGAGACGCTTACAGGCCGGTTTAAGGCAGATGGATGCGGTCAGGGTTGTTTCCTGGAGGAGGTAAGCAGGGACAGGAACCAAGTGCAAACAAAAAGCCCTCAAACCTGCAAAGGAAGACGGAGAATGTGGGAGAGGCCATGGTTCCAGCTTGGCTCAGCCTCCCCAACCTGTAACCCCAAACCTATCCCTTCACCCCATCTCCCAGGACCTGTCTACCAGACGGACATCAAAGGCGTTGGCCAGATCGTGTGCCAGAGCCCACCACTGAGAGCTCAGAGCTGCTGGGCGCCCCTGACGGCATGGGCTCAGTCAAACAGCATGTTCCATGTGTAAGCTCACTCATTGCCTGGCTGTGACAGCTACGAACATGATCTGATCCCCAATCCACACACAAGGACACGGAGGCTCACAGAGATTCACTGCTGGGCTGCAAGAGCAAGGGCGCTGCCTGCCATGGGTTCTGGAAGGAGCAGCAGTGCAGGGCCCATGTTCATGGCATCGGGATGTCAGAGGCTGGGAGGAGATGGGGTCTGTACCACTGGGGGTGTGTCAGCAGGGGAGCCCTGGCACCGGTCCACCTGCAGGACTGCAGCATCCGCACTAGGTTTGGCTCTCGCCCAGACCTGGCCTCCTCCCTCCACTGCCAGCAAAGATAGCCCTATGGGACATTGTTATTCCACAGCTGAGCTCCTCCAGCAGGACAAGGCCAAAGGCCTAGGGCCCGGGGCCCAGGGCCCTTGATGAATCGAGCAATCAGGCAATGAAATCTGAAGGTTAATTGGCAGCAATGACCCCAATATTCTTCCCTGCATCCCTGGGCTGATCCTCTGGAAGACAGGGCCATCGGTAGCAGGGATCCCACACGCAGAAGGAAGAATGCGGAGACCATACTTCAGAGGCCATAGTTTATCCCTAACAGGGCCTGTGCTGCCTTCAATACATCTCAGACGTCCAAAGGGGAAGAATTAGATTTTGGTAATAAATGCAGCCTGACTCTGAAGGAGGAAACAGCCCTGTTTTCTCATAGACCTCAAAGCTGCCTCTGTGCTGCTCACAGACCACAGGAAGCAGTCGGGGCTCCAGGCTGTATGGCCCAACCATGGTGGGTTGGCGTGAGGTCCCAGGGCGAGGAAGGCGTTGTGTGGGCCCCTCTCTCAGGGTCAAAACCACCACCCACACAGTTGGGAGAAACGGGGCCCACTGCTCTCTCTCCTAGGGGCCACTCTCTTGCCTGTTGACAGCCAAAACCCAGGGCCCTGGAGGGGAAGTGACTACCTCCATGCCACACAGACCCTTGGAGGGGAAGGGGCCCTGACCCTGGTCTCCTGTCCAGGTAGGGAAGGGTCCATCCTCTAGGAAAGCCTGCCTCGATGGTCGATTCAGCTTGGGGCAGATCAAGCCAGCGTTCTGACTCCCCTTTATCCCTGTAGTTCAGTCGCTTACATAAAGGTGAATGAATAATTCACACAATGGTTTGGATTAAATAAATAAAAGATGGGTTTTCCGCCTTGGAGATGTCATCACTATCTTGTCAGTTGCTCTCACGTGGCCTCCTCTCAAATGAGCCAGGAGCCCGGGCTTCCTCTGGGCTGGATTCTGTGGGCCTGGACGCTGGGCAGGCTCCTCTCAGAGACCCTAGAAGCCTGTGGCAGAGACCCCCCCAGGGTGAGGCAACAGCCCTGTGCCTGACCTAGGCCCTGTGACGGCAGCATGTGGGCTGAGGCAAGGCAGCAGTGGGGCCTGCAGTGCTCCAGGCCCCGGTGCCCCACCCAGCCCGGTCTGCTGTGTGCTCAAGGCCTGCTGAGCTGGGGTGCTCAGGGACGGAGCCCAGCTCTGCAGCCCCGCTCTCTGGGGCGGCCCCACCAAGGCTCTCAGGCCCTCCTCTCTGGCCTCCAGGGCAACCTCAGGCTTAAAGGCAAACTGTAAAGAGGCCCTGAGCCCCTCAGAGCCCTGGCCCAGCCCACCCACAGCCCTGGCTTCCCCCTTTCCTGCCTGGGGATGTTGAACTCTGGCCACACCAACCAGGAGCAACTGCCTAGGAAGCAGCCGCTTCCCTCTGCCTGGATGCATGCCCTCCTTGGGCCCCTCCTCCACACCCCTGGAACCCCTACTCTGGGTAGATCCAGCCCTCTTGGAGGTTCCTGCTATCACCTTGCAGGGATGCAGGGGCACAGTCCTGGTGCTGATGGGCTCTTAGGTCCTCGGTGAGGGGCAGGAGAGGAAGGAGAACAGCAGGTGTTCAAGTGGGAGTCAGAGAGGATGCGGCAGCGGCCACCCATGGCCCAGGTCCTGGGGTGTTCCAGGGGAACAAGGGCATCGACGATGCGGGTGCCTAAACAGCTACCCCCTCACTACCTTAGCCTCACACCTGCCTCCTCCCGGGATGACAGGAGGCAGCTGTGAAAAGGACAGAATAAAAATAAATTGCCCTCCATTATGTAAAGGCTAGCTAGCAAGGAAGAGAGGCTTTACAGCCTGAAAGCCTGGATGTCAGGATAAAGGAGGGTTTACGGCCTTATCTCAAGAGGCCCAGTTCACAGCCTGAAATGTGGAGAACGGTCCTACCTTGGCAGGACAGAAAGAGCTAACACACAGGTACGGCCCATGGGGATGGTGACAGAAATGCTGGGGGGTTCAGGACTTTCAGAAGCAGGGAAAAGGTAACAGTACTTTTCTCTACATCCTCTTTACTCCTTGGAGTGTTATGGGGCATATGCAGACGAGAGCAAGCAGAGATCCTTTGAAAGGTACCAGCGGATCTTAGGAGCATGGCCCCAGGGCACTTCCATCCTTCCCCAGGGGCCTGAGCTATACCCAGGATGAACCAGGCCTGCAGACTACATGAGCCTTAGGGCCCACGGAACCCTCAGGGTGTGGGGGCTCTGGCCTTGCTGCTCATCCTGCAGTGGGAAGAGGCCCCGGCACTCCCCGCTCTGTGGGCCTGGACTCTGTGTCCTTCCTCTGGGACCTGTCCCATGAGTGGAGCCGGCCTAACCCCTATCTGTCCTGAGAGCAGCCTGGCCAACATAGTGAAACCCTGTCTCCACTGAAAACCCAAAAATCTTAGCCAGGTATGGTGGTGGGCACCTGTAATCCCAGCTAGTCAGGAGGCTGAGGCAGGAGAATCGCTTGAGCCTGGAAGGCAGAGGCCACAGTGAGCTGAGATTGCCCCACTGCCCTCCAGCCTGGGCGACTAGAACTCAGTCTTACCGAAAAAAAATAAAAAAGAGCCTGGGCCTCTCTGTTTACCAAGCACCTGCAGGCACTGGGCAGCTCTGCCCTTAGGAGGCCAGCCCTGCACAGCTGAAGCAGCTGGCCCACATGGGAAGACCCCACATGGGGAAGAGATGCCAGCCTGCTGCTTCCATAAGTCCCTGAGCAGCCTCTTCTCAGGCTGGCCTCGGTTCCCTGGGCCAACACTGCTTCTACCACCCTGTCCAGTCCCTGTCCGGGGTGGGAACCCCGGCCATGTAGACAGAGCTCCATGCTCCCACAGCAAGACATGAGCTGAGGCAGGGCTCTCTCCTGGGGCATTCACACACCGCTGGGTGCCCTAGCTTAGCCATCAATGCAGCTGCATCTGGTCCTGGCCTGACCTCATTCCAGCCCTGCCACAGGC